CCTCCCGGGTTAATGTCCCTCTCTCGCTCCCTCGTTTCCTCTCTTCCCAGTTATCAGAAACCAATTAAAGCTCCATTTAGAGGAAACAATAACCTGCAGAATATGGTTTGTTTATTGATTCGATGCAGTGAGACGACCGTGAGTGTGAAGCTAATCTGATTCATACGTTTAGAGTCGTGAGGTTAACTCAACGTGAGCAGGTTTCTTCCTCATGTGAGGAGAATCTTCAGTCATTGAGTGTTTGTGTTGTTGTCCATGAGAGGGCGCTGTGAGTCTGCTGTGAAGATCAAATACAGTGATGTGCATTGCAACCACACAAATGTTATAATGCAGCAGGACAACGAAGAGTTCATCAGTATCTTAAACATCTATTTTGCAGAAATTAGAACTATAAGTAAACCTGGAAACAAGATCGTCTTCATGTTCATACTCTTCTTCTTTGAAACAATCACTGTTGAAATTAGTGCATCAAAAAGTCAAAAATAATGCAGAAGCAACTCTTTCATGGTCAGTTCACCAAAATGACCAAAATGCAGAGTTCCTCACTCGTTCTCTGGATGTTTGGAGTTTGTTTGGAACCTTTAAATGTGTTAATCTGTCTAAATGTATTGAAATGCTTTTATTTCTTCTGTCTACGTTGGTTTTGTTTGTTGTGGATCAGGAGGGTTTAAAGTCAGACTTGGAGGGTTCGTGGAGTCTCCAGGTTCCAACACGAGCTCCGTTTTATAGCCTGTCTTTGTACATTTTGGCAAATTGGCACCATTAAAGTTTGCCGAATGATCTTTTATCAGCTTCTTTTTGCAGTGTACTCGTCGATGTAGAGACGACTATCACTGGATTACTTTGATAATGAAGAAAAATTAAAAAACGCAATTATTCTCAAGCAAGTTCTGCAGTTGTTTGGAACGTCTTTTTCTTATGATTTCAACTCGTTTATTAGATAATGACATCCTCTGGAAGCACAAGTCTAACTGTATCTGATAATACATTTATTGGGTAAGTTAAATAAGAATTTACTGAGTCATCACTCCAAGAATGAGTGCAAATGTAGACTTTTCTTTAGATGAGGGAGGGATAGTCACGATTAAAATGGCCTTGAGTAAAGAACCTTGCATTTCTGGTAATTACCTAAAGTCTATCCAGTCAACGTTAATCCTGATTTATATATTTATATGTAAAAACTCAATGCTGTGGAGCCTACTATCATTTTCACACCAGGCCATGGAAACATCATGTGCTCTGTTTACCAGCATGGGTTAATATTATGGAGGCTTTTCTGCTGTTTAACACACACACACACACACACACACACACACACACACACACACACACACACACACACATTAATACTACAAAGCAATGCCAGATTCAGAGATAAATATATATTTTTATTTAAGTGCCTGTCAAAAAGAACAATGAAAACTGAGACTCTCACAAACAGTCCACAGTGTGACTGGAAACCTCCAAAAGCTGCTGTGAAATAAAAACACATGCAACGAAAAGAAAATGTAAATGATGAGAATAAAGTTTAGAGCGACGTCCAGAAAGTACCAGCAACATGGAGTTAATCAAAATGCAGAAGAGAATGCTCAGAGATGCTTCATTTGGGAATTAAATATAACAAAAACATTTTTTTAAAACGTCCTTCAAATGACAAAATCTTTCCTGAAAACATGTTTAGTTTCAAAATGAAGGTGTGACTTAAATAAAACTTGTGTTTGTAAATCTTAACACACAGAGTCCCATTTGATGCAGCCTGTGACTCATAAACCCAATCACGACATCGAGCCCCCCCCCCCTCAGCTCTTGCCTCCTGCCGCGGAGGCCGAGCCGCCCACCGTCGACCTCCTCAGCTCGATTTTCATCGACTGGCATTCGGCCCGCGACTCTAACCTCGTCACTGTCGACACGCCCAGAATCGCCTTGCTGCTCGGCTTCGTACCTTTTGACACCGGGATCCTCGTGGCGGCGCTCCGAGTGGACTGCACGTCCGAACCGGGCTGGAAAACACAAAACAACAAGGCACCATTAGGAAAAAGATGATGTTGACTATTTCTTAAAGACGAAGGTCTAAGGCTGCAGGTGAAGCCGGATCTGGGTCTGTCCGCGGTGGACCGGTCTCTGCTGGTGGATCTGGGTCTGTCCGCGGTGGACCGGTCTCTGCTGGTGGATCTGGGTCTGTCCGCGGTGGACCGGTCTCTGCTGGAGGATCTGGGTCTGTCCGCGGTGGACCGGTCTCTGCTGGAGGATCTGGGTCTGTCCGCGGTGGACCGGTCTCTGCTGGAGGATCCGGGTCTGTCCACGGTGAACCGGTCTCTGCTGGAGTCTGAGCTGGTGGAGGTTCTGGTGAACCTGCATGAGTTCATCTGGTTTCACCAGAATCCGACCCGGTGGCTCCGATGACGAGCATTAAGAATAACTCTATAGAAACAGACCATCTTCTCTCTGATGGTCTCTTCACTGATGGAGGTCTGATAGAGGATCAGGACTACACTGAGACTGGTTCAGATCCAGTTCCTCACGCCAACTTTAAAATAATTACAAAATATGTAAAACCGCCACGAACACCACTAACGTTACGTCACAATAACAACACTTAAGGGCACGGTTGAAAGTCCTGTGTTTGTTTGTACGTGATTTTTAAATGTTACAAGCCAACGCCACTTAATGCACTGTTAAGGGGTCGTGGTCATGGCTTTGATCTGGTGACAAATCATCAAATCAATACTTCCAGGTTCCATGAACACGAGTGCGTGAGAGTTAACCCGCTTAGCTAGTAATTTATATCATTTTGGGTAATATGAGAGTTTTGAACAAGTTTTCTAACTTCTTACAGTGAAAAATCTCTCTCTCTCTCTCTCTCCCTCTCTCTCTCTCTCTCTCTCTCTCTCGTCAGATCATTCCAGTGTTAGTTAGTTCATATCAGTGAGATGTTTATAAATTCATTGTTTTATACCTGGGGAGAGCGCTAACTAGGATGTCATGCTACCTGATTTCATTTTGAAACATTTCAGAAGCAACTGCAACGTAAAAAGATGAGACATCCTTCAGATATTTCTGCCTCTGTGTTTGTAGCAATCTCACCACTGACTGCGTTGGCCTGGAGGATGCCGAGGCGATGGGCGTGATCGTGATGCTGCTCGTCATTTTGCTCTGAGTCGTCTTCCCCGTCGAGGATTGGCGCGGCGAGCGGAGCACCGTTCCCGTTTCCCTGCTGCTTTCCGAACTTCTGAGCGTCAACACGGGACCGCCGCAGCCCTCGGAGGGCCTCTTGAACCCGGACCCAGGTGGACCTAGGTGGATGTGGATCTTGTGTTCTTCCGTCGTGATGATGTTGCCGTTGTACTTCCTGAAAGGTGTCGGCTGCTTCTCCGGGCTCACCTTGATCACCGTGCGGCTTGCGGCGGCGACGACGTCGTGAGGCTCGGGCGACACGCACGCTTCGGCCACGGGGGTGGTGCTGACCGTGATGATGGACACCGGCGACCGGAGGCCGCAGCCGTTGGTTTTATCCGGACTCTTGGCCCTGGAGATGGCGGTTATGGTGACGGGGGATTTGGCTCGATTGAGACCTCCTGCCGGCTCGCAGGTTTTGCTCCTTGAGGCCACGGTCGTGGGCTTGGGGACGATTGTGATGCGAGGTTTCTGCAGGCCGAGAGTCGGGATGATGGTGGTGCTGGAGAAGAAATCCTCGGCTCGAGGGCTGGTGATCTCCAAGGTGGCGGTGCTGTTCTCGTGATCCGGGGTCACGCGGATGTGCAGCGGATGGCCCGGCCTGGTCATCTCAGGCGGATGGAACAAGGACGCCCTACCGGTCATGTCGGGGGCGGTCTGAGTGAGCGTGATGGCCTCCTTCTTCTTCATCCAGGGTATCCAGGATTTCTTTGCGCCGAGTTCTGCCGAAGCTGGAGGGTATCGTTCAAGAACCGCCGGCTTTTTAAGACCCCGTTGTCTGAGGTTGCTCATTAAGTGGTTTTCCTCGAGGACGGATTTCCGGATGAAGCCCGCTGCCGTCTCGTCCTCCTCGGCCGCCTCGCTCGCCATCACATCCGTCTGCACCGCGGTGGAGGTAACCGGGACATTGAGCATCATCTTACCGTTCATACTGGGCCTCAAGGCGCGACTGTACCGCTTGGTGGCCTCCAGCTCCTTGGTAAGGTTGGCGAAGTCATGGCTCATGCTCATCTTCTTCTCTTCCTCCTGCAAGAACCTCTGCTGGAGGACGGAATAATCCGCCTGCAGCTGGGAGAGCTGGTCCTCCTTGTTCATCAGTTCGTGGATCTTCTCCTTCAGGGCCTGGACGTCCACCTGCAGCTCTCTGGTTTTGGCCTCCTCGATCTTGCAGCGGATCCTGAGCGCAGCCTCCGAACTCGTGATCTCGCCCTTCTCTATGGCTTTGTTTCTGGCGATGTGACTTTTCATTTCTTCCAGCTGCTTCGAGAGGGTGTTTGCTTTGTCCTTCTCTGTTCTGAATTTCTTCTCCAGTAGATCATACTCGTCCTCTGTTTTCATTAAATCTCCTTCCACCACCTCGAGTTGTTTGAGCCGGCTCTTGAGTCTTTCAATTTCTAGCTTGAGCTCTTTTGCTTTGTTGTCTTCATCTGGATTTCTGCTATTGTCCTTGATGGACCACTTCCTTTTTATTTCCCTCTCTGTCTCCTCAAGTCCATCTATTCTCATTTTCATACCACCTAGCTTGGTATTCAGCTCCCTACACTTTTCCTCTTCACTCACAAGTTTAGTAGTTAACTCATCTTTCTCTTTAACGAGGGTCGTGACTCTGACCTCCATTTCGGATTTGAATTTGAGAAGTTTTTTGCTCTCCTCAATCAGCTTCTCCGTGACCTCTGTGACCTTGCCCTGCTCCGCTTTGAACATCCTACTCAAATCATCACTTTTCTGTTCTTCCTGTTTGAGTCTCTCCGCCATGTTTTTCCTTTCATCGACCATAATAACCGTGAAAGACTTCAACTTCATCAGATCGTCTTTGAGGACCATTTCTGTCTTTTCAAACTTCGTCTCTGAGCACTCTAGTTCCTTCATCCGAGCTATCACCGCCTCCAGCTCGCCGGCCAGATCCTTCACGACGTGTTTCTCTTTCTCCAGGTTCGTGTGAAGCTGAGAGCACTCTGTTTTGCTCCTACTGAAAGCCCCCTCCAGTTTCTCCAGTTCAACCATCCTCTTCTGCAGCTTGTCCACCTCCAGCCTCAGCTCCTTGCTGTGGTTCTCCTCACCCTGCAGCTTATTCCTCAGCTCCCTGCACTGAGTCTCCGTTTTGGTTATCTCCTCATCCTTGCCCTCCATCTCCAGCACTCTCTTCCGCAGATTCTCCAGCTCGGTCACGAGAGACGAATCCCCGCACTCCCCTTTGCTGATCTTCTCCCTCAGCTCCTGCAGGTCTTCCTCGGACTTGCGCAGCGACTTGTTGCTCTCCTCCAGCTCCTCGATCTTGTGCGCCAGTCCGGCCAGCTTCAGCCTGAGCTGTCGGCTTTGGGACTCTTCGTCGGCCACTTTGGCTGTCATCTCCTCGTGTTCCTGTGCAAACCTGGCCGCTCTGTGCTCCAGCTCGGCCTCCAGCGCGAGCACCTTCTGGCCGTCCTCCTTGGCGGTGTCGGTGACCGCCGCCAAGCGCTGCTCTTTGTCCTGCAGCTTCTGAGCAAGGTCCTGGACCTTCTGGCTCTGCTGGTCGATCTGCTCGATATGCAGCTGCCGCTCGTCCACCAACATCAGGGCGAAGGACTTGAGCTTAACCAGCTCCGCTCTGACCTTCTCCAGCCTCCTGCTGTGGTCCTTGTCCTTACGAGCCTGGTAGGCCTTCTCCTGCTCCAGCAGCCTTTTGAGTCTAAGAAACAAGGAGGAAAACACAACAGATTAATTCATTTTGGATCAAACCATCCTGTCACCTTCTCTACAGTTTCCTGTATTTCTCTATCAGATGGTGCACATTAGTCAGACCAGACAGTGTTAATTACATCGTGCAATATTACATTTCAATTGTATGTGCGATATTATTTGTATTAATCTATGTGCAATATAACTTTCTACTACTTTATAATAATAATATAATAATTATTTTGTTTCCATTAGGCTCTGGTGTTAGTATCACTTCTTATACACTTTATATTTCTACGCTTGTATTTAATCTTTGTTGTTGTATTTTACTTTATTTATCTACCTTACTCTTATTGCTATTCTATTCTATAATGGTGTAAGTGTTATTTCTTTTACGCTTAATAATTGTTATTCTATTGTTCATATATGTTTCTATTTGTATTTTATTGGTTTTTGCTTCTGTTGTCTGGCAGAATAAAAGCTAGCAACAGGGAACAATCGATTTGGGGGTTATTTGGGTATCAGTGGGCTCCATGATGGTTAAAAAGTATGAAAATGAAAGTACTGGACTGTCACTGGTACATATCCTATTAATGATTAAATGGAGTGTTTTTGGTGCATGACATCAATGATCACAAGTGTTTAAAGAACTCTGTAAGGTGCAGGCTTGTACAAAAACTGCAGTATTGTTGGTTTCTACACGTAGAAGTACTAATGCCTGGCTATACTTGAAACAAACTGTAGTACGATGTCTCGTCCAACCATGTCTGATGGCAAAAGTGTTTAAAAACGTCTACACATGACACATACGTAGACTTCTATACAACCGGAGGAGTCGCCCCCTGCTGGACATTAGAGAGAATGCAGCTTTAACACATGAAGCTGTCTGGGTAGCGCACAGTTCATGGTTTTTTTAAGCTAGCGTTAGCACTAATTTGGTGCAGCAAACTGCACTGATCAGGCCCTTTGAGGACAGATATAAATAAACAAAGCAAATCCAGTTGCCTACAATGTCAAGATATCTTACAACTGTATCTGAAGAAAGCGCATAAACGGCAGAATTTCTGAAGGAAACTTAAGGAAGCTAAATTACTGTGTCAAGTTCTTCTTAACTTGTACAGAGGAGCAATAGAAAGCATCCTGACTGGAAACATTACAAACTGGCATGAGGGCTCTACAGCGGGGGTTAAACCCCCCCGAACATTCTTGGTACCCATCTACTGAGCATCAGTGATATTGGTGACAAGAGGTGCCTGCAAAGAGCTCAAAGAGCTCAAAGACACCCTGCTGCTGTCTGGAAAGAGAACCACCAGACCACACAGCAGCTTCTTCTGACTGCTAAATTCATCCTCCACCATATCATACAGTTTTGTTTTGTGTTTATTTTATGTAACAAAAGGGACTAAAAACTGCATTTCATTGCACAACCCTGTTTTACAATGAAAATAAGTATCTTAACCTTGAAAGTCTTTATAGACGGCATCATTTGTATCTGTTAAAATCAACTGGCATCGAAACACTGGGATAAACAGTAGGAAGAGTCACTGCAGAGCTGCCAACAAAGTTCAAGAGAATTCAGCGCCTGTTAGTCGATGTTTAACTGATCTCTGCGGGAGTCTGTGAGTCAGAGAGAGTCTGCTGCAGGTTCCCTGTTCCCGTGGGTCATGCACGCTCAGACACTCAAACACACAAACAGGTTTCAGCACAAGTGTTCTGCAAGATTAAGACCTTTACAATCTCAAAAAAACAACATCTTTCCCCCTTTATTCAACTCACCAACAAGTTGGGATGCAGAGCAGGTTGATCCATGTCTGTGTGTTTAAAGGCTGAGCAGGAGCCAAAGAGCTTCTCTCGGGGCCAGAGAGGGAAGGAAGGACGGCGAATTAAAGCCACATCACATTCCAAACATGTCATCGGTGGACAATGAAAAAAGGTGGATGTTGTGCTAAACAGCACCGCTCCGCTGGCTGGTGATGTCATTCACCCCTCCATATAAGGCCAAAGAGGCCCTGCCCTTTGGACACCAAGGAGGAGGAGGAGGAAGGGTTCAGACAGCTCTTCCTCTTCGTCCTTCTCCCTCCGGGCAGCAGGTACAACACAACACAACACATGAAGCCACTTTTAAAATGTCCTTTTCCTAAAAAATTGTTGCTCCAGTTTTGACCCAACCGTCTCCTGTAGCAGCCTGTTTCCATAGAGACCGGGCAACAATGCAAGGCGGGAGTTTTTGTTTTGGAGCAGACAATGCCAGACTTTGCGCAGCCTTTCTCATTATAATCCCCCCCCCCCCCCCCCCCCCCCTCGCGCAAAAGTGGAGAAAGGACGTGGATATAAACTCTACATAGTGGCTGGATTGTATGTGTGTGAGATCATAGCTGCAGACAGCAGAGGAGGCCTGTGGTCTGCATTGCAGAGGCTCCTAAATGAGCCAAATATGAGCGGTGCAAAGAGCTTGCAGATGCAGAGGCTTCAGATACATGTTGGATACATAAATATCAGCAGCGCACAAGAGCACTTTCTTTACACCGATTGCTTGTGTTTTGTGGCTTTTGTGCACTTTTGGAGAGAAATCTGTTTCTTCTGACACACATTTAAACTCTCACTGGATAAAAGCCTCGAATATATCGTCCATTCATTTCCTGTGATTGCAGGCTTGTGTTTTTGAAAACTGAATAAATCAAATGATGACATGTTGATGCCATTTGTTGTCGAGAAACTGTGCAGATTAATACAACTTCTGCTGGTGCAATAATCACATTTGCATTTTTACATATTTTTCTTTTTAAATCTGTTTTATTGAGGCTCAAAGATAAAAGCCCAGAAGAAGACAAAAACATATTGCAGTATTCTCTTCTCCACCCTTTCCCAATGTCCGTTCCCACCTCGTCAAACTCTCCCACTGCCGGCCAAAAAACAATGAGTAACAAACGTTTTGGAAACCAAACCATCACTTTGGTCCAGACTCAAATATCTCAACGACTACTGGATGGATTGCCGTGACGAGTTGAACACAGATTAAAGCCGCCAATGATGACTACTTTCTTTAGTGATCCTCTCACTCATCTAGCGCCATCATGAGGACAAACATGTCAATTTATCCAATACATTAGTTTATAACCAAATTCCTGCCGAACTCCAGACGGCAACATCTGGTTCTGAAAAGTGAAGTCAAAGCTTCGCGTCCTAAAGCTGCATTCTCTCTAGTGTCCACCAGGGGGCGACTCCTCTGGTTGTATAGAAGTCTATGAGAAAATGACTCTACTTCTCTCTTGATTTATTACCTCAGTAAACATTGTAAACATGCGTTTATGGTCTCAATCTCTAGTTTCAAGTCTTCTTCAATACAGCATGATGCTCATTTAGTACATTATGGTCCATTTAGAGTCAAACAGACCATAAAGCAGGGGATGCTTTAGGGCGGGGCTACACGGTGATGAACTCGATGCTTCAAAACCTCAGTCCACAAACCAATGAGTGACGTCACGATGACTACGTCCACTTCTTATATACCATCTATCATGCAGACTACCGCCACCTGCTGGTGTGTGCGAGTTGTTCACTGGCTGTGGTAAACACAGGCGGCGTGAGGCAGCGCTAAAGTCGTCCTTTTACTGCGTCCGGTCTTTAGTGCCTCGCTGAGGTCCCCTGATCCCAGTCTGATTGTGTGGTTTGAGAAGCTACGATTTCACCCAGTTAACGATGTCTGCCTTCAGGGGAATGTGGGCTTTATTCTCTGTAATTTAACAGTGGTGGACGATTCAGATTCTTGTTAAAAATGCGGCCTGTAGAATATCCCTTTTTTAATACCCAAAACAGCTAAAAACAACAACAAATGTGGCTCCTCGGTGTCATCGCGTTCCTGTTTACTCTGAATGTTCTGAATGTTAATAAGGACTTTGATTATTGTGGCTATAATTAGCTGCAGATCAGCATCTCCTGGTCTGATGTGTTCGCTGTGGGCTCAGTTTTACGAGTGTTTCGGGGCTCACTTCGTCAGCACTGATGTTATGAATAGACCCGAACAGAGAGAGAGAGACACAGAGACACAGAGAGAGAGAGTTTCTGCAGAGCCATCGTCTGAGACTCTGAGTCTTGAGAACAAGGAGGGAGGAAGCTGAGCTAAGTGTCATACATTTTATCATAATATTATCATAGATTATCATACATTTACAAGTTCTAGGGTGCAATATTTTAATCACAGAGGAGCGTGAACAACTGAGACATTATAGTGTCATCCACTCTGTTTAAATTAAGGTCTGGTATTGAGTAACCTCATCTCGCAAGACGTCGTTAAGATTGAGGTCGTGTGCATCTTTTGTGCAGACATTCATGGTCCCCAGAGGATCAATCATACTGATCATCTCTCCAGCACCAACATGCGGCTGAGACATGCGGCTTTGAGTGAAAGATCTAAACTATTGGATGGATTGTCCCGAAATTTGGTTCAGACATTCAAGGTCCCCAGAGGATGAACTGCAATAACTTAAGTGATCCTCTTACATTACATGAAGCAGCTGAGGCTGATGGAAATGACACATTGACTGTATATAGGAAGTGGACGTAGTCACTGTGATGTCACACATTGGCTTTTGGTCTATCGCTTTGAAGCCTCGTGTTTGGCATTTTGGCCATCGCCATCTTGTTTTATTGCAACCAGAAGTACAACCGAACGCTGAATAAGACATTTTTAGGTGACCTAAATGTTACAATTATCTTTCATGAAGAGAAACGCACTGTGAAAGGGCTAAAGTTATAAGACAAAAACACGGAAAACTCCCAGACAGCGGTAGAGACCTGTCAATCACTGTGTAGCCCCGCCCCTACAGCATCCCCTGCTTTATGGTCTGTTTGACTCTAAATGGACCATAATGTACTAAATGAACATCATGCTGTATTGAAGAAGACTTGAAACTAGAGATTGAGACCATAAACTCATGTTTACAATGTTTACTGAGGTAATAAATCAAGAGAGAAGTAGAGTCATTTTCTCATAGACTTCTATACAACCAGAGGAGTCGCCCCCTGGTGGACAGCACGTATTCTTTGTGCTTTAAGATTTTTGGATTCATTTTTTCTATCCGACAAACATATTGACATATAACTAAGTTCAGTGCAGTAACATCACGAGAGTCAAATACAGATGTTTATAACAAAGCTTTCCTGTGTGCTTGTGTTGCGTCCGTCACAGTTTGTTATGCAAACTGGGCGTCTAATCGTCCGGCATGACATCACCCTGGACTCATTCATTCATGATATCACCTGCAGTGAATCTGCACGCTGACTGCAGCCAACAGGAATGTGTTATCAGACAGAGCACAGAGCACAGAGCTGCACGAGGACGGTTAGAAGTTTAGAGGACTGCAAAATGGACCACAAAGTTGAATCTGCACCTCTAAACATCTGAACCTTTATAAGAAGGTAGAATTTATCTTGCTGGGCTTTTTAAACATTACATTCTAGACTTCTTTTGACCTGCAAACCTCCAAATCAGTGCCGACTGGAAAAAGAGTAGAAAAACAGCGTCCGCGCTCCACGAACCTTCAGAGAGGAAGATCTGAAGGACGTTGTTTAGAAGAGACATGAGATCATGTGAAGGTGAATGATTCACTGTTTAAACTTTTATGGAGCACGAGGAGCAGATGTGAGAGATTCTCTCGCCGTGATGTTTTATTGTGCAGATTATTTTCTCATGTGGCTGGTTTGTTTGAACCTCTGTCAGACAACACGTCAGGCCCATTTAGATAAGTAGGACCAAATGGACTCACCATCACTTTCGTCTTTCTTATCTAATGTTGGGCAAATATGTCAATTCCAAGTATTTGGAAGGCATGCTTTATTTATTTCACAAAGTGTCAGGGCTCCTCCATGTCCCTCAGAGAGACAGAAACAAACTCAAAAAAACAATGAAGAGACCAAAACGACTACAAAGAGACGCAAAATGACTACGAGAGGCAAAACGATTAGAAGGAGACGCAAAATGACTACAAAGACACTAAAAACAACTACAAAGAGACACAAAACAACTACAAAGACACTGTAAGCACACAAACAATACTAAGTAAGTATAAAGTATATTGCATCATGTGGTTTAGAGTGCAGTCCAGAACCAGATCTTGGTCCAGTCTTTTAGAAGCCCTGGTCCTAACTGTAAGAGGACCAGAGACGTTCTTCTGCACAACTGCACCAAGCAAAGAAACTCAACTAAAAAGCCTCCAGAATCACGTGAAAGATGCTGTGAGCACATCAAAAAATCCAAACCTTTAGGTTCTTCTGCAACTCAGACTTCAGTCGAGGCTGAGTGACGGGCTGTGTGTATTTGATGGCTTGATAAGTCATGACTCATCATCTCTTTCTATCAGAACCATCATCCAAAACCTTGATGCTCTGGTTCTTATCTACCAGACAAACAAACATGCATCTGCAGAATGTGCACGACTAACATCTGGATTCCACCTCCTCCGCTGAAGAAGCGTCATGCTGGCATCATTTACCAGTTCATCACGTTTCAGGTGGTCGGGACCCACAGGCGGGTTGAAGGAGATTTTATTTGGGTCGCTAAATAGATTTGCAGAATCTTATACAGAATCTTATATATTTATTTCTGCAGTTCACCTTTGAGCCACACGAGGAGGCCTGAATGTCCGCAGTGTTGTGATAATTGTAGCCTACATGCACCCACAATAAGACCTCGTTGTTAACATTTTAAAAAGTGGGTCCCCAGAAAAACACTGCACTAGAGCACCAAATGTGGATGAATCCGCCATTGAAAATAGTCCCCAACAAATGCACTGTCTCCTCCTATCTTTTGAATAAAACTACAATAACCAGCTGTTCCAGTAAACTACTAATGAAACTATATATTTGTGTTTTTAAAGAGTAGTCTTCAGTAGGAACCAATAGAAGCTGAGAGCCACAGACAGGAAGTCAGACAGTACTGAAAGACGGACTAACTGGTTTTGGTCCAGAAATAAAACATGTTGAATATTTTTAATGCTTTTTTCATGCTGAATCACTTATGTCCCATAAACGTATGAGAACTCAAGATTTAAAGTGATTCTTTGTGTAAAACTCTATTGATTCAACTGATAATGTCTTTCTCTAGAGGACAGCGCTGTTTGATTCTATAATGAATATAAAGTCCCGTTCCTGACTGTGATCAAACCCAGGACCAGACTGAACTGGGACTACTGGGACCACTGGGACCGGTGGGCTCACCTCTCCCTCTCCTGCTCCAGCAGGTTGGTGAAGTCGTCGCTCTTGTTCATGAAGTCGGCGTGTTTTTGTTTCTCGTTGTCGAGCTCCGTGACGGTGCGCCGGTGACATTTCTCCGCCAGCAGCAGCTGCTCCAGCATCCGTCTGTACGTCTCCCTCTGTTTGTCCTCCAGACGGTCCAACTGAGGGGGGGGTGGGGGGGGGGACACGTCAACACTCATTATCAACAGCAGCTCAGGCCACATCTGCCGCCACATCAACCCCCCCAAAAAAACAACATTAGCCACGGTTCTTGTGACGACAATGAGCTTCATTCACACCGACTGTTCAGCCTGCAGACGTCACTGAGCGGGAAATTACATTTACACAAAATAAAATGGTTTCAGGCTCTGATTTCACTGCCATGAACCCTGGTGGACATGCACCGCCAAAATAAAAGCTTAGACGATATTGGTACTCCATCTATGTCTAAACTCTTTGAAACCAGTTTGATGTATACACATACAAAGTCATCCTTCGGGATCATGGAGGACACTTTCAGTCCTCTTTTCTGGGAATTGAGAGGTTTTAAGAAACCTTTAGACTGATTCAGGTACTTTTAGACGTCACGGAGGGAGATAAAGTGGTACAACTTTATTTTTATAGGTGTGTTATTTCCTTATAATTTATTTAAAGGTTTCCTGGATAGACGTTTTTGTTATCTGGCATCAATTATAGCAGCGATGGAAGAAGTATTTATATTGTTTACTGCAGTAAAAGTACTAATACCAAACTGTAAAGAATACTCCACTACAAGTAAAAGTCCTGAGTAAAATATGCAAATGTTGAAGTAACAGTAGAGTAAAAGTACTCCACTACAATACTGTTACTTTGCTGTAAGTAGCAGAAAATAAGTACCGTACCAGAGTAAATGTACTGAGTTACATTCATTTTCTTTCAAAGAACCTTTAAAAAAAGAACTGTTTCTGTTTTAAATAAACTACCGTCACTCTGCTAAAGACTCGGACTCCTCTCTGACCTCGGCCATGGGTTTCTCGTACACGTCGTCGGTGCTGTTGCAGTTCTTCAGGGTGAACAGTCCGTCTCTCTGCAGGGCCTGCAGGGGTTTGGTGGGGACGGCCGAGGCGTACTGAGCCTCCAGAGTCTCCGGTCCGGTTCTGTCCAACTTCAGCAGGCCGATGATGTCCTCTCTGGCCTGAGGAGATGCAGCAGAGACTTCAATGCTAATATCTTTACTGTTTTGTGTTGTTTTTATTCATGGTTATTGTTATTATGATTATTACTGTATTTCACTTCCTGTGGTGTGAAAGAAAGCATTTGTTCAGTTTTTATGGATGAATAAATAATTTGAACATTTGAACACTGCAGGTTAATGAAACTACGTTAACTTTCAAATAAGATTTCATTAGTATTATATATTTATATTGTGATTATTTATAATATTTTATAAGTAATGTATCATTATTATTATTATTATTGAGAGGATTGAGTTTTGACCCAGTTTAGATTTTCTTTATATTTATGGTTGTTTTCCTGTTAACGGGGTTATTTGATGAGGTCAAAGTTCCTCACTTCAAAACTAATAATGAGGCTTTTTAAGAATAAAAATGTATAAATAAATATAACAAGATTAATAAATAAATAAAGTGCTTTGTAAATAAAACCACTTTTGCATTTTTGTCACGCAAGACAAGGAAATAAAACCAACAATAAAAGGAACAAATAGTAAAACATACTCGCTTTAAAAACACCACATTAAATATGACCTGCTCAAAAATAAAAACAAAATAAAAATTCATTAAAATCAAATTAAATTATAAAATAATAAAATCAAAATAGCTCTCCAGTGAAAGAACCTTTTAAAATATTTTTTAAAGATAATGTTTCTGTATAAACACGTCTGAGAGAAACGTTTCTTCAATTTATTTGTATTATATTAGAAAATCCCAAAAACACAATCAAATCCTGAACTTCATCAGTTAAACTGTCTGCAATCCAAAATATAAGTAACTAAAGATCCAAACCAAAGTCTAAAAGATGCACTTTAACTTATTCGGAAACTATCAACTCCCAAACAGCCTTTTATAAAGATGTAGTGTCTTTGTTCAGCCTTTATGTTTATGCGTTTAACTTCTTGAATATTTACACAGTGACGCTCAGACACCAGCTGAATGACATCATCTGGATGTGACGCTGCATCACGTGGAGCCAAAAGAAACGATGACCTCATAACCTCACATCAACACGACAGGAGGAGAGAGGCAGCTTTCCTCCAGCAGAGGGAGCTGTTTCCTTCACTCACCCTCTCTCTGCTCATCATCAGTTAACGGTGATGTCATTGTATTCATGTTGTTGGGCTCGAGAATCTCGTTTAGGTGAAGAGCTTCACTAGAATGTGTCCCGACAATCCTCAATATCTGGGTGTGGATCTAGATCTGCAGAGAGAGTAAGGTTTGCTGATGTTTACAGTAACCGCTGGGACGCGGATGTGACGGCTTCATCAGTTAACTTAATGTGTAAAATAAGAGTTTTTTATGATTATTGGTGGGGATTGCTGTCTATGCTGAGCTGTAAATGTTTTTATTTGTTCTACCCAACAAAAGAAGCGAAAGCTGTTGACCCAGCGGGAGCTGAGAGACACAGAGAGCAGAAATTATAATCTTTTACTGCTGTTATTTTATTTTTTTATTATTATTATTTTTCTGTCTGACAAACCTAATTTTTGTATCATCTTAATATGTTTAAACAAATACAAATTTGAATAAAAAAAACAAACCCCACAAATATATATTTTCATCAGTAGTTCGCTCTAGTTTTTAATCAAAACAAACAGCAGGAAATAGTACGTTTGTTGGGGACTACTTTCAGCGGCGGATGAATCCACATTTGGTGCTCTAGTGCAGTGATTTCCAAAGAAGGGTCCGGGGACCCTCCCGGGGTCTGTGGCTCTCTGTCGGGGGGTCCATGGAAGAATTTGATATTTATCATAAAATTGTGCTGTAGCATTAAAAAAGTACAAATATTAGTTTCCTGTGAAGATGGAAGTTTATTTTGAAAAGATGGAAATTATTCGTAGGAAAACGCACCTTTCATGAGCCGTCATACGAACAGTGAGGCTCGTCGATGTGTTTTTAATGGAGGTCAATGGTTCACCAGGATACTTGTTAGTTCACTGTTATTCACATATAAAGTGTATTTTTCCTTTATTTAACAAAAAGCAGCTCCTCCTGTGTGAAGTGTGTGTTTTCTCCGTCCTCATGGAAAACCTTCATCACGCCAGGACGGATGGAAACAGAGAGAGAACAGTTTATAAACGTGCCTCGGATATGAAATCATTATCAGACTGTCGGCCTGTTTCCACAATGGTTTACAAACCTTTAACCATCTCACGCTGAGACGTGTCGATGTGTCTCATATTCATGGTTTCATGAGCTGCTGCTGCTTTGGGGTAAATAAAGATTAACTGGATGATTTTCTGTGAAAGACGAGAAACTATTTTCAGACTTTCCTTCGTCCTCGAATGAGTCTTAAGTCATCTCCATCGATAACAAACCTTCCCCCATTCTAAAAACCTTCTCCGACAAAATGACATTTCTTTAAAAATAGACAAAACATTGATTTTTGATGATATTTGCCCTGTTGTTGACATTACATGATGAGTTCACGTAAAAACTGACAATGAGGCTGTCTAATAGTAATAATAATAATAATAACAACAACAATACTAATATTTATCGTCATATTAATATAAATATGAATAAAGTGCCTTGCAAGTAAAAAGTTATTCGTGAAGCACTTTTGCATTTTTCACACAAACCAAATAATAAAAATACAATAATAATAGAAATAAATGTAAAACAATATAAAAAGAGAACATATATGGAAAACAATTTAGTCAAATTAAATTTAGTTAAATCAGCTAAAATCATGGAAAAAAAAAAAGATTAAAATGATCTCTAAATGTAAAAAAGATGATCAACAACTCGGATGGAAAAACAAAAACGCAGACATTTGTTTTCACAGAAAGCGTTTCATGTTTGTGAAGTTAAATATTAATATCTATTCTGGTTGTGATGTGTCCATCTGTAAAACAGTTTTACACGTTTTCCAAATTGCTCAAATCATCTCAGTATGTTGATGAATATTTACATTATATTTAACTAATAATTACAGATGCAAAGGAGAATAAATCATTCCAGCGGATGTAATTCAGAATTGGTAAAAGTTCTTTGTTTGGTTAAAGACTGATGAAGATGACAGGAGGCTCAGACTAAACCCACTTCAGTCTCATTAAGGTACTCACATGGTTGATTACTATATTATTATTATTATTATTATATTAACGTCCCTGTGAAGTGAACCTGATACCTGAACTTCTCCTTCCATGATTCCCAGCAGGTGCAGCAGGTCGCTCTTGGTCAGATCCTTCCTGCTCTCTGCAGCTCTCTGAGGTTTCGCCGTCCTCCCGTCCTGGACCTTCATCTTCCTCTTGGTGAGCTCCGGTTTGTTCTCCTCCTCCTGCTTGATGAAGCCTTTGGTGGGCTGGATGTGTCCATCATCTGGACCCTCCATGGTGCAGGTCCGGGATCGCATCTTCTACCTGTGAGCAGAAACAAAATGGATGAGACAGTGATCCTAGAAAACCCTTTAGTTCATTTCAGGAAGCTCACTGGTGGTGTGTGGATACATTATCATTATAGTTTATAATTACTATAATAATTATATTAGCTACAATAATAATATCATTATCTGATAACCCAACGTCCATGTTTTCTTATCTTAAGAAAACACATTAGAGGAGAAGCTCTGCTCCTGGAGGAGGAGGAGGAGGAGGAGGAGGAGGAGGAGGAGACGCTGCTGCTGCTGCCGGGAGCTGAGCTCTCCTCCTCTCTCCGGAGCTCCGACTGCAGGTCCAAGGCTGCAGGTGAAACCAGATCTGGGTCTGTCCACGGTGGACCGGTCTCTGCTGGAGGATCTGGGTCTGTCCACGGTGGACCGGTCTCTGCTGGAGGATCTGGGTCTGTCCACGGTGGACCGGTCTCTGCTGGAGGATCTGGGTCTGTCCACGGTGGACCGCTCTCTGCTGGAGTCTGAGCTAAAGGAGTGTCTGGTGAACCTTCATGATTTCATCTGGTTTCACCAGAATGCGACCTGGTGGCTCCGATGACGAGCATTAAGAACAACTCTATAGAAACAGACCGTCTTCTCTCTGATGGAGGTCATGTAGATAGGGAGAAGCCAAACAAACGATGATGAAATCGACAGCTGGGCCGGCTGATACTGGGTGAGGGGTTGAGATGGGGGTCCTCACAAAGGAACAAGTAATTGGATCAAAGCAGGCCGTGACTCAACCAGAGAGAATCCTGGCAGTGAAGCGGTAGCAACCGCGTTACCCCGGCCTGTTATTAATAGTTGTTTCATGGGGGGAGATATGCCAAGATCTCCCACGCGTCACAACTGGGAGAGTCACTGGAAGAGCTGGTGGGCCAAATCTAAAGCCAGGACAAGTGTGAAGCAGCAGCTGGAAGGTTTGGGCTTCAGAGGAAGAACCCGTCTGGAGTCAATCACAAGCCGACAGAAGCCTTTATGTTACCTGTGCATGCGCTCAACAAGTTTAAAAAATAGATTTTTTGGGGGGATGTTGACATGCAATTTTTCCAGTATTTGGAATGATGATGTAACTTTTGTCCAGAACATTCAATTCAAGGTTTCCGTCACATCATAATTTTGATACAAAAACACGTTGTTTTTTACAGGATTTTATTTAGTTCCAGCCCCCCCATGGTGAGAGATATTTACAGAGACGTGATGAGGACTAACTGGTCTCCTGATTTACACTGGAGACCGGCTAAAACCTCAAGACAGCTGTGGCCCGTGGCCGACACACGAGACCTGCAGAGGATAAGAAGCTGGAGGAGGTATGTTGGCAGCAGGGGGGCGCGGTCGGTAACAAGAAGGTCACAGGTTCGACTCCAAAGAGTGTCCTGATTAAATGTCTTTGTGCAACACACGGATGTTTTCTAATCCAGCCATTCCAGAACAATAATTCTCTGTGAATTTTAAAAAGCATATTGTGTCTATTGCTCCTGCTGGTTTTGGGCCAATATGAAACTGATATGATTTGTAACACAAACACATGAGTGCGACAAACTGTTCCTGTTGCTGCTTGAAATTAATAAGTGAGTTTATTTCAGTCCCCTTTCTTTTATTTCACATTTGTTCCTGTGAGGTTTCAGTAGGTTTACTAGTTGAGGAAATGTACATTTATGCTTCTCATAGTACTGTAGTTTGTATGAAATGATTAGTATGTTATTACAAGTTGTAAATATATTACCGTTTGTTGAATAAATGCTTTGAAATGGACATTTTTAATTTTGACTCAGACTGCATTTGTTATAATGGGTCAATAAAGTTAACATTTATTACATATATATATACACACAATATACGAGCATTATTTTGTTTCTATGTTAGCATGCTTGTAGCCGTGCAACATTAGCACTACAAGCTAACGGTAAAGAAAGCTTTCATGAGTTGCTCCAACATGGTTACCCTCTTTGTTAGCCTTAAAGGTTATCTTTACGACATTCAGAGCATTATTATAGCAGCAAACAACTTACTATCTATGTAAAGATGAAGTGGAGTAATGTCTACCTGGGCAGAGAATAAAGACTTTCTCACTCTGTGTGTGTCGTTATCAGAGCTTCTTGCTTTGTTTACCATTGTTTGCACTGTTAACGCTGTTAGCTTCTAGCCGCCACCATGTTTGAGAGCTGGTTAAGACAATAGATACACTCTGAATTTTCTATTTAGCACATTTAATCCAGATCCAGATAAATAGCATATATTAGCTTCTTTTTTTATCGTGTTATAAATTTGCAACATTGTGTGTTAAAAAATAAAACCATACAGACATTACAAAAAAATAAATACATTGATTGTATGTGGATATTATTCATGTAACTGCCAGGAAACGGTGGTGCATTATTTTTCATTAAATGCAATGAAGTCATAGCCGTCACAAGGAGGTTGAAATATCTCCTTCTTTACATCTAGACCCAAACAATGTAGGTATTTGGATGGATTGCTGTGAAATGTGCTGACAGTCATGGCCCCCACAAAATTAATTATAATCATTTTTTATCCAATGTCAGTCAGATTTCAAATTTGTCCAATACCTGGAGAGCAAATGACATTTTAGCTAGCACGTTGCTGTGTAGACTCTTCAGCATAAAAGCTAACATGCTAACGGTAATGCATTGGGTTATGTATTTGCTAATATTAGCATGACTCATCTGTGATTTACAGCTTTGCTAACGGACTACGTTAGCATGTTTACATACAGAACAGCTGCTCAGTTTTACCAGTTTACATTGGCGGTAATTAGAACAACACTGGCCCAGTTAGCGGTCCATTCATCTAATCGGGTTTAGACGTCCATGCTGGTGAAATGTCAATCATCCATTTTACAGCCCCACTACACTTGAAATATATCGTCTGTCCTTCGCCTCTATTTGTGAGCTGTGCAGCTGTTTGTTTGGTGAAAGTTTATTCAGGGTTATTTTTAGGGTCTCCCCACTTGTTGTTGTTCAGAGTCCAACAAGGGCGAGGGGGGGGGGGACTCCAGGGCTATCACATTATGATCCATCAGCAATCCCACAGATGCCTGGACCTCCATTTTCCTCCTCACACTCCTCCACGTCACCGGTTGTTGTCAATAGCTGCTTCAATAGCCGCTAACCCTAGCCGCTAACCCTAGCCGCCTGTTTATACTAATACAACGCCTCAACAGTTGTTAGCTAAACAGAGGTCACGTACGTCAATCCCCGAGACAGAAAAACACCAACTAAACATCCACTGGGTTCATGTTTCAGCTCATATTGAAATGATGGAGACGTGTCCTCGGGGTAAATATAGATCATGCTAGCATGTCTGGCCTCTGTGGTCTGTAATTGTTTTCTCTTGTTTGACGCATCAGTCTCATGATTGAAAGCAAAAGTGTCGTCTGTCATGTTAGCGTTGTTGCAGCGGCCATATTTGGTGGTAGATATGCGTAATATTTACTTCTTCCAATGATTCACGTAACCGGACATTTTGAGTTGGTTAAACATAAAACACTGTAGCAATTATAAGACTGTCCTTTAAATTTGAGTGTAATTATCTTGAACAGAAGATTTTAGCTGACTTGAAGTGTCCGTATTTGTGTGTATTTTCAGGCACTTCTGCTTTATTTAAGGCCTAGTTGGATATTTTTGAGCTTTCAGAAAAATCCCAGTCATAACAACAGTCTTTAGAAGTTGGAAATTGGTAATTACAGTAAGATAACAGATTTATTGACAAATTTCCCCTTGGGGATGAATAAAGTATATTTCTATTCTATTCTATTCTATTGTTATTTTGTAGTGAAACAGTGTTTTCTAGTCAGAACCAGTAACATCTATTGTTAGCTGCAATTTATTTAATTTTTTAGGTTAGTTAGGGAGTATACTTTTCTTTAACTAATTTGTGTTCTGGCCTAAATTCTTCACATTACTGAAATAAAGCAAAAGTCAAACATTGACATTGAATTCGTGTGTGCTTCACCAACGAAGCAATGTAAGGGGTGACATTAAAGTCTAAATAAAATATCAATTACTTTTTCACATATTTTTGTTTATGTTTTAATGCCATCATTGTTATCCGTTTAAACATAATGAAATAAATCAGTTTTTCCTGCCAGAATGTTTTTTAGCTCAGTTCAAAATCAAACCAACCAATAAACAATAATTCCTTGTTGTCCTCGCTCTCCAATGACACATCTTGCCCCATCATCTTTTAGTCACTTCTCTCTATTATTATTGTCAGATGATTCGTGCTGCACTACTTTGTTTATTTTCCTTTCCTTTACTTGTATTTAATATGTTTTTAGCGATTATTTAACTCTCCTTTCGCGTCAGTTTCACTTCTGGTATTTGGATTTCGTCTGTATATATATGATTAAATAACCAACTGCCTCTCTCTTGCTGACTGATATCTCTTTAATTCACGGTTGTAATGATCCTTTCCTGCATTATGTCCCATCCAAACATCTTGTTTCAAGAAGAAATCAAAAAATAAATAACGTAGCATGCGTGATGATGTGAAACTGTACTTATTATTATTATTAATATTACATTTAATACAAGAAGGCTTTCATGCAACTGAGCTCCCTTCGGTTTGCCTTGGAAGTGATGGCAGCTTTCCAAAAATTCACCATCTCAACTTTTACAGTTCTTCAAACTTCATGCTTTTCATGTGCAACATGATTTAGACATGTCGATTCAGAGAGATGACTATATAAGGGAGCGATGGGCTTCGTGAAGGAGGTTTAAAGAGGTCTGGCCTGTCGCTGTAACTTACCATAATGGGGAAAGTAATGCAGTCAGTCATCTGTGCTGCAGGAGGGCTCTAAGATACAACGTCCTCAGAGGCAAGAGGACGTTAGCAGATGACGAACAACTTCACAGGAGAGCCAAAACAAATATACTCCTGTCATTAAATCCACTGTTTAATATTTAAAATGGGGATCTTGATTCGCAAGATTCAAATTCGCAAAATCTCTGCATTTTATTTCCTAAAATA